CATGGGCGGCGGTTCCGTCACGCTCGCAGGACACGGGCGCTGTCGCTCGCAACAGAAACAAACTGCGGGTAATTGGCCCGCAAATGGCTTTTCGCGCAACGGGAAATGCACCCACTCTGCGTGAGCGCAGCCGCTCCAAATGCACAAGATCACTCTCGGCCGCTTCAGGGGCGGGCGAGGGCGGGAGGCGCGGCAAACTACGTGCGTGGGCGCAGAAATTTACTCCATTCTATAATTATAGAGAACAGCTTAGCTATCTGTGTCTGTATACAATTTATATCAGCTATTTATACCTACCTCAACGATGCAGTGTGTAGCGTGTACATGAACGGATGTTTATTTATTTCATTTTGATTCTATTTGATTTTTATCTTGGCTGTCTGCTTGCTTGTGACTACTTGCGTGCATGCGTGTATGAGTATGTTTGTGTGCTTGCATGTGCCAATGTTTGTTCTTTTTGTTTGTCTTTGTATCTCCTGTGCGTGCAAGGACATCTTTGCGTGGAAGGATTCATCTGCCTGATTGTTGGTGTTTGTGTTTTTATGCGTGTTTTGGCAGTTTTAAAATCTTATCTTTTCCAAGTGAGCCTGTCTGCTTGCACGACGCTAAACGCGTTCGTCTTCGCTAGTGCGGGCGCTCTTGCGCCGCGTCGCGGTTCGGGCGCTTCCGTTGCGCCGCCCTTCATGGCGCCCGTCCTACAGCCGCCCCGCGCACCTCCTTTGCTATCAGTATCGTTCCCGAGTCAACCCCTTCCCCCACCCACCCGCTACTGCCGCCTCTGCTGCGCCGCCTCCTCACGCAAGGAGATTGAACACACAACAAAAGAATGAACAGGCACGCTCACGACAGGTAGATTCACACGCACATAACCCTCTACACGCTCACATGCACACACATACGAGAAAAAAGAATCGAAATCAGGGGCATACAATTCACAGCTTGATAAGGTCACAGAAAAGCTGCGCGGCGTCAGCTCTCCCTCGAGCCGAGGCTGTTTCACACTACCGCGACATACAACTGAGGTCATGTTACTTTATCAGTAGCTGCCTGTCCAAAGACGGAGCACCGTTAGCAAAAAGTACTCCACTTTTTAGACGAAAAATGGAGTACTTCTGACAACACAAGTAGCGCTCGTGTGATGAGAAGGGAAGGTAAACAAACAAGAAATAAAGGGCAAGGCCTCAGGGCAGGCGGCGCGTCATCAGTATGCCTGGTATCTGCCCGCCACTGCGTCACCCGTAAGCGCAGGGGCACCGCACGCACATACAAACGCACGCACGCACAACTCTCAAATGAACAGTAAAAATCTGTAAACGTGATAATTAAAACAACTGGGAAGAAAGATAAAAAATGGAAAATTCACATGCTTCATTTACGCTTTACTGTTCGAATAATGCAGCAAATGGCACTCCGGTGGTAAAAGATTCCTATCCTTTACACATAGATGTTACTTATGCAAAGGAAAGAGAGAGGCAGGGAGAAAATACGTTATCAAGTAAACCGAATGTTCTCCATAAAAAGGGAAAGACGAGAAAGAGAGAGAGAGAGAGAGAGAGAGAGAGAGAGAGAGAGAGAGAGAGAGAGAGAGAGAGAGAGAGAGAGAGAGAGAGAGAGAGCGACTCACCTCACAGAACTTGAGTCCCCTGACGGAGTTTCCGAGCGAGTCGAGAGGCGGCGACCACGTGCACACGCCCATCACGTTCGGGATGACCAGCATGATGGCGCCGCACACGCCCGACTTGGCCGGGAGACCCACCTGCGGGCGGCGAAGGGGGGGGGTGAGTAAGCGGCCGGGGAGACGTGATTCGAGGTTTTACTTACTCTCCGTCTGCCTAAATGTATCTCGGCTACAGCCTATCTCTCAGCATGCCTATGTCCCCATCTATCAATCAACATAATCTATTAGTAGGTCAATCATCCTAATCTATCAATAGGTCAGTCAGTCAAATCTATTAGGCTACCAATCAACCTTACATATCAATTCGTTAGCTAAACTTACCTATTAATTTACCAATCAAAATAATTAATCTCTCTATCTACTGCGTTGATTTCGAAACTGCTGACCACTTCCTTTTTCATGTTCACTACTAGTTTATCCTTAGTCTATATACAGAGAAGGAGAAAAGGAAAACGGGGACAAGGAAGACAAGGGTGGAAAGGGAGAGCTGAGGAAGAAAGAGAAAGAGAGAAAGAGAGAGAGAGAGAGAGAGAGAGAGAGAGAGAGAGAGAGAGGGGCGTGAAATATAAAGAGAAAAATAAAAAGGAAGGGAAAATAGAGGGAAGGAGGCCTGACCTTGAAGGCGAACTGCCCCGAGTAGTCGTACATGCCGCAGGAGTGCATGAGCGAGAGGACGTCCCTGACGGCGTTGGGCTGGATGACCTGGTCGCCCGTGATGGGGCAGATGCCGCCGTTGGCCAGCGTGGCCGCCATCACCGACATGCTCTCCGCCGTGACCTCCATCGAGCAGCACTGTGGGAGAGACGGGGGTTAGGGCCCGGG